AAGTGTGTTTCCAGGAGACATGTGAGAGCCTCACCCGCGGTAGCCGTATATCTACCGCATGGAAGCCTCAGTGTCCCCACCTTTTGCCCCGGGTCCTTCAAAAGGATTTTACGAAGTTTTTGAACTTCAGGAAAACCTTCCATGTTACCACAGAAAGTCCTCCAAGATCCTCGTTTCGACCTCCGAATATGGTCCTTATACCTGCGCTGGGAGATCTTAAGATCTTCCCAGTCCGCAGGTAACTTAGTTCGCATGGCCCTGGCCTGCGAACCTCCTTACGAGCCTTTTCAAGATCTGAGTTCCACCAAGGTGTTCTCTTCTTCCCTCGAAAGGTACGCAGTTTACAGCTGTCCTCATAGGACGCTGTTATGGCGTCGCTTACTAATGCGGCCGCCTCTTCCACCTGCCCTGCTTTCCGACAGAGCAAAAGTGGTCTATCCAACCGGTCCGACAGTTTTGCCACATAGCAGTCCCAGTCAGTGGATCGGGGATTCCGAAACCTACAGGGCCCGCAGTGCAATGCCAGGTTCAGTTGGAAAAGAATGTGCCTGTGGTCCGAAAGCGACGGCTCATCAGACACTCTCCCATTCGTGATCATGTGAGCTATTGAAAAGGAGCCCAGCGTCAGATCAATGACCTCCTGCCTCCGCGCTGTGACGAAGGTAGGGGCTGCTCCCTTATTTAAAACATTCAAATCAGTTGTTTGCAAGTACTCCAGAAGGTGGTCGCCCCTCGAGTTCGTGTCCGTGCTGCCCCACACAACATGGTGTGCGTTTGCATCACAGCCAACCACAAGAGGGAGCCCACTACTTCGACAGTACTCTATCAACTCAGCCAGCTCCTTGGTTGGTACCCTTCTGAGTCATACGGGAGATAGGCGGAGCAGACCACCAAGTGCCTGCCCCGTCCTCTGTCATCTTTCAGCTGAAGTCGTAGAGCTACGAGATCCCTGAAACAAAAATCAGCCATTAGATAAGACTCGATACGTCTATCGACATAAATGCAAGTCCTCGGGTTTAGTTGGCTGTCCCTCTTATAATAAAGAGAGTCCTCCACCTGGCCCAGACCTCTTACTCGTCCCTTGTAAACCCAAGGTTCTTGTATGAGGCATACGCCTGTCCGCTTTACAGCAAGTTGACGACCTATTAGACAGGTCGCCGCCTTACTGTGCTGCAAATTGCTCTGTAAGAAGGTTACTTTGTCCATCACTGATGTACTAGGTTCCCTCCTCCGTTAGCCAAGTCGGAGCCAAGAACCGCCACACGAGCCAAAAGCTCGCTGACATCTTTCTCGATCTCTTCGGGCGCCGGGAGCAATCCCGCCGCCTGTTCGAGATCAACACTGCGAGGTTGAGCCCCCTCCGTCGCACCGGAACTAGGTCCCGCTGCTTCGGTGGAGCTCTTTCCCTTACCTTGCGCAGCCGGAGCACCCGCTTTCGTCACAAAAGTGACGCGCAAGACCCCCGCGTGCGCCTGAAAGTTCTGTCGCTGGAGTGCCTGATAGGACGTCTCATCGACACCAAATGCGAGGAGAATCCTACCAGGCTCCTCCCTGCGAAAGAACGTCCTCCATAGACTCGTCCTGAAACCAGGATTTTGCCTCTGGAGGCGCTTCAAAATGGTGTCCGTGTCATCCGGGAGCCCGTACAACACAGTCATCACCTTGGTTACCCTCGGGACGTGCCTCTGAACTTTCAGCGACGCGCCATCCCAGGGCCGGATAAGAGGGACGGTCCTCTCCAACCAGTCCAAGGTCCACTGGTCCTCGCATTCGGCCACGATGGCACCATGCGGATTCCAGCGGAACCCTGCCAGCCGAGGAAAGGGCCCTCCCTCCATCTGGTCTACGACTGCATTCAATGCAGCCATAATGCACCTCGACTGAGCCTCAGAGATGTCCACCTCCGGGTTTGAAACCGGAACGACGGCCACCCTAAGCCCTGCCGCAGCGACTTGCCCATAAGTTCGTGGTGCACCCTTGGGTGCATCAGAACTTCTAGGCTTCTTCTCAGGCTGCCTTGAGCCAGACCCTGGAGTGCTTCCCTCTGATCTGAGACGCTTAGTCCCTGACGTCGGGTTGCCCCCTGAGCCAACGACCCAGACGCAGCCTTAGGCTTTGGCGCAGAGCCCGCTTGACCCGAGGTTTTACCCTCGAGCCGGCGCTTCCTGGCCATCGCCTTCTGTGCGCCAGTCCTATTCTTCTTGCGAATAGGAGCTGACCCACCACCAGGTCCTTGGGTAAGGCCCTGCGTTGGAGCCGTCCCCTCTTTCGAGGAGCCTGCCCCGTTACCGGACCCCTTTTGAGGGCCCGGCTTGTTGGTCCCCTCTGACGAGGAGCCCAGAAAGGTTTTGTTAGAAGAAGATTCCATACAATTCCCACGAGTAGTGCGGAAATGCGGTCTCACCTGGGCAGAGCCGCTTGCCCAGGGCTTGGCTGCCAGCCCCTTCCCGAAGGAAAGGAGCCACCACTCGGAGGTCGCCCGGTATCCGAGGGGCACCGTTATCGACACTGCACCCCAGTGCCACGCAGTCCTCGGCACGGTCGCTAACACCTTGACTTGGGAGGTTGGTCCGCGGCGACGACCTTCGTCGCTACCAGTCTGGGTTTTAGCCCCGACGAGCCACTTATAATCGTCACTACCCACACCGAAGCAAGAGTCACGTACGATCATTCAAGTGTCTGTATGGGCTTTCCCCTATCGGCCACCCGGGGACGCGCCCGATGGGTGCCTAACCACACGGGAAATTTCTTACTCTTGTTTTTTTGTGTGTCGTATATCGTTGTTCTCCTAATCAAAAATGTTAAATTCAGTGTGTATTTTTACGGGTCATATAAAAAATTAAGTTTATGATTTCTACGAAACAAAACGTATTGAAAATCTCTCAACACTGTCTTGTAGAGCTCAAAAAGTGACAATGAGAAAATTTATTCTTTATTTTTCTGTAACTTCTCAAATAACATAAGAAAAAAATAAAAACCAAATCGGTAAATTTAGGTTAATCTAGCATATCTTTTGGAAGTAATCGAAATTTTTTGGTTTTCTTGAAAGCATGACAATAATTGTTTAATAGCACAACGTTTCCCTAATTTGGCTATCATCGTATCTTCTATGGCTTGAGAGATCCTCATGATAGACATCCTCATTTTGGACACAGTGTACATTCACTTTGGCTGTTCGGCTGCCCCATTACAAACATTCCAAACCAACATTTTTTTCGAAAATGAGATCACTTCCATATAGATATTTTGTTACCGAACGACAACATAGTATGTGGTAGACCACTGTGTTTTGAAATAAACTATCCCATCGTCATGCTCAAAATGAAACCAACCACCACACTCAATTTTGAGGGCAAGAGAGAAGGGTGGTAGTTGGTAGAAAACACTTCTTATCGTTGAGACCTTTAATTGGAGTACCATATGAAAGATAAAACCAAATTTTGCCCCGCTCCCTCTCCGCCACCCACTGATCTCGAAAAGAATCGCGGAAGACAGATGTAGTTTGTAGACACCAATTTCTTTCGATGAGACTTTTCATTAGAATACCATGAGGGTACAGCGTTTGTTTACCCCCCTTCTCCTCCCAACCTATTTTTCAAAGTTACGCACGATTTACTTTCTAAAACAGTATCTCGGGAAATAATAAATGGGGGTGACACCCCTTAAGACAACTAAATTTGAAGGCCGTCTGGCACACCTTCAAGGTATAGGCTACCTATTGCAACATTCCCAAGCTGCAGTTTGAGCACATGTTGAGGACAACCCGAAGGAATCTTTTTTAGGGACATTGAGTTATTGTTGTTGAAGTGAAGTAACAAATGCACTGATGTTGGGGAGAACTATGGAAAAATAAAATTTAATTGTTAGACTACGCCGTTTCTTTCATAGTCAGGCCGTAAATGTTTGGCGCTGCCTTCGTATGAGCACATTTCAACCTAGGGCCTCTTATTAATCTTTTTGCAAAGTTCTAATTGAAGCGCATTCCTTTGATGTAAGGAAGCTCATGTCGACTAATTATCACTACTTCGAGCTATACAGAAGCTGTCATGGATCTGTAATTTTTTGTAGTACCTGAAGGGAAACACAAAAATAACCTTCTTACAATTTCGTTCAGCGTTATATACCTAGTTTTTGTGTCCTCTGTACAATTTTTTCGTGGATAAAGGTCATTTTTATTACAGTCTGGCATTACATTTCCGAAACATTCTTTGGAGTGATAATAATTTACCGTCGTAGGTAAGTATTCTTTTTCCCTACACTCAATCTCCCCTTCTCAAGTTAAATTGTACTGTTTAATGTACAAAATTAAACTTTGTGAATTATAATACACCATTTAGAAGGTAAAATAGAATTTTCTTCTTGCGCATCAAAAAGGAAAAATCCTAAAATTAACATCTTTTTGCGTACTGTAACGGCTAATGCAGTGCAGCGATATAATAAAGTTACCTTGGTTGAGTAAAGTACATCCTCGGGTGAAAGCGTGCTAGGGCATTATAAAATTTACAAAGAAATTTCCAGAGTTGATAAATGCAAAATATTTTTCTACATTAATCTTTATTGGCAGTAATTGCTTGTTTAATGGGCATTCCGTGATACTCTATACGATTTTATTCTTAACAGTAAACAGGAAATAAATTACATTGCTCATTAGTCATTATATTGTTACAAATTCTTGTATCTTATTTATACTGATATATTGTTGTGTATTTTGAGGTGGCACACTATTAGTTAAATTCACATGTCTTTAGTTTAGTAAACTTTAATTAATCATAGTCGCAGAAGTACAGAGAACTATTTATATCGAAATTAATATCCTAATTGAAAAGCGATGCGTAACTAACTAAAAAATAATAATTGACAATCTTTTTTTTTCCTAGCAACAGCGCGCTAGATTTTTCGACTTAATTCTAATTTAAATTGAGAACATAATAGTCTCCCCCCACAAAATTATGACAGTTAATTATAAATTTAAAAAGTAAAAGTTGTAACAACAGTTTAAATCACATGACATAGTCTCTAAAACGTTCTGGAGGACGGCGAGGTCGAGTAGATCGCCGGACGGATTCCACTGTTGGAGATTGTCCAACTTCTGAAGGTTCAGCTTCGACATCAGGAATAACATCCGATCCAGGATTGGCTGGTAGGAGCATGGACGCCAGTTTTTCGTAGTGGTGGTTGATTTCAGGTGATTCCGAATCTGAAGTAATTTGTGGTGGTTGCAAGGGTAGCTGACGGTTGGGGTATATATCGAAGTTGGCTTTTCTCAACTGGTTCGTGTGTCGTTTGAGCCGGTAACCATTATTAAGTTCAACTTGGTAGTGGAGATGTCCGAATTTTTGGATGATCGAACCAAATTTCCAAGTATTCTTGTTGTTCGAATACCATCTTGCTAGTACCTTGTCCCCAATTTTGAATTGTCGTGATGGTGGCAGGTCGAATTGTACTCGTTTTTGGATTTTTAAAGAAGGAGGCTTGAAGACGTCGAGCTGGCACCTAATGTTTCTATTCAAATACAATTCGGCTGGAGTTTTGCCATTCTGGAGAGGAGTGGCTCTGTATCTGAATAATATTTCGCGGACCTTGTGTTGTATAGAACCTGGTTCGGTCATACACTTCAGTTTTGATTTCAAGGTTTGTATATAACGTTCGGCCAACCCGTTAGTTGCAGGATGACCTGGCGCTATAAACTTTTGCAAAATGCCATTGTTCAGACAGAAGGTTTTGAANAAAGAAATTTCCAGAGTTGATAAATGCAAAATATTTTTCTACATTAATCTTTATTGGCAGTAATTGCTTGTTTAATGGGCATTCCGTGATACTCTATACGATTTTATTCTTAACAGTAAACAGGAAATAAATTACATTGCTCATTAGTCATTATATTGTTACAAATTCTTGTATCTTATTTATACTGATATATACTTTATTTTTATATCCTCCATTGTGATCAAATTAATTAACAAAACTGAACAGGCACAACGTCGGACGAAATGTAAAAATTATTCATTTACTTGCTCTGCGTATTTCGCTTTGGTTAACTTTACATCCATCTCAAAATTATGAAGTTGAAATTACTCGACCATTCAAAGCTTAAAATGCGGCGAACGTAGCTGAAGAGTTTGCGATTCTCTATAACTCTTATACATGTAAAACACTTATGGGTTTTTATACGCTGTGCCACTATTGACAATGCAATTCGACGAGAAATATTTTCATTAATTCGCTGCAATATCACCGGATTCAATAACTTTTACCATTATGTCAGCTTATACCTTACGAACATCGAGGTGCATTAATAAAAGTGATGCGTTAACAATATTACATCGGTACTGTAATTTTCGAAGTTGTCAATAAAAATTTAATCCGTGTTATAATTATTATGGAATGATTAAATTAAAATCCAACAAACATTAATTTTGCTGCCACAATAAATTATAAACGTATTGTGACCTTAATTTAAGTATCTATAGCAGTAATAATTTCAGAGCTCATTTTGTAAACCGGGCGTAAATAAAAAACTTTTAGGTATCTATAATTAGACCTACCAAAGCACTTGTTCGAGTTTAGTTTGGTAATATCATCTTTAAATTGCAATCACCTGTTGAATAAATTTATAAACACTCTTGATTTCCTGACTGGGGTTTACAGCAGTGAAAATAAAACTAGTTGTATCTTGAAGCTGGCTTTCCTTTTGTTTGACACAACAGAGAGCGTTACGCCACAATTGCCATTGTTTTCGATTCCTTTTTTACCAATTAATTCAAGTGGTCAAGTTATTACAGTTACGTCACAGGCGATCTCAATCTCTGACTGTCTCACAGGGATTGATAGCTCAATCAAACAAACAATTAAACAAACCTAACCAATTTCGACATTTACCTATACTCTTGGGGGCTGTCATCATCAGCGAACAACAAAGCTTTTTATATTTAATTAGTGTTTTAGTTTTACTTTTTATAAAGCTATCATTGTACAGTCTCGAGCTGCCTCGGAGTATCATTGATAATATGAGTGAGGAAAGGGCAACAACTATCCAAAAAGGGACTGTTCTGAATGGCACGTACAAGTAATCGCATTAAATACCTTGTAACGTGCTCTTCAGCACCGGCAACGCAGTGGATACGTGTGAATATACTGCTATGTGAAATGGCGAACGGTTACTAAAACCACCCACATTAACACATGTCCAGCACTCAAGTAAATTAAATAATTTCTATGCATAAACTCCCTAAAATGTTTCCAAATTCAACTCGAACTCCCAACAAAATTTCTTCGAAATTATTATAATTTTCCCAAGGCACGTCCAGTGCCCAACATGACCAAAAATCTCGATAAGGGTTTTAAATAAATCTCTTGGAAATCTCAGTAGCCTTTTCCCCACAATTATATAAGTGTTAGTACTCAAAAGAAATGTTAAATTCTATCGAACAGGATGATTCAGCAAATGTACGTGAGGTTTATGACAGTATTGAGACAGCTACTTACGAGGTTGACTTCTTTAGGAATGGTGCAGCCGAAAGAGGTAATAATACCTACATTAACTAAAGTGAAAACGCATGCTAAATATAGCTATAGATAAACGTATTCACAATGATGTATTGATGCACGAGTTCAAGGATTTGTAGTTCTACGCACAACAAAACAATGGTCCGTATGAATAAAAGTGAGCAAATGTTTATACTTGCAAAATTCAACGTAAATATTCGTAAGTACCCCTTCATACTGGTTTGTTTAGCAGCGCTGCACTGCGTCCTGTCCTGCTGCTTAGCAGCGCTGCTAAGTCGCCCAATGTGAAGGAGCACTTACGAGTATTTACTTTGAATTTTGCAAGTATATGCATTTGCTCACTTTTATTCATATGGGCCAATGAGTGGCTCTGCAAAGTGATTTCCTAGGTATCGAAAAATTATCGAGTTGTTATCATAAATAAATAAATTGTCGCGTACAATTTAGTAAAGTTCAACATTGTATTATTTCTGCGTAATAGGTACACAAACATAATATTGGTGTCAGAAGTGGGATAATATGTTACGCACATGTATCGAAAACGCTCACTGAGCGAAAATAACGCACACAACGCGTTATGGGCGAAGCTAAATAACCAAACACCGAAATTAAATATTTAACGTGTTATGGTCGGTTACGGTCAACCAGAACGCGTTGTGTTCATTTTAGAAGCGACCACATAACGCGTTCTTTTTGAAGAATGACCATTATACATTGAATTATTTATTAAATGGATTCTGAAGTACAATTGGAGGGCTGGTTAATAACGTTTAGTGGTTGCCCCCGAAACTGGCATTATCAAGTCATTGTGATGGATGGATTTATTTCAATGTCCTGGAGAAAGGGATTTTTTTATAGTGAAAGTCGTTAAATACTGCATCAACGAAAAACGTGGCTAGTTCCGACGGTCGGAAAGCGCGTACGTTTCTTTACGCTATTTTTATTCGGTCAGTCCGACCGATTTGATTATTTGAAGGTCGTTTGCCATTATTATAATAATTTTGTGCAGAAGCAATTTAACCAACGTTGTGTGCGAAATTTAAAGTAGTTTGTCCGTTTCATGGAAAAAATCTGTCAACATGAAGAATTAAGCAGTTAGTGCACCGTGAGGTTTTCTGTTAAGGTTCTCTTGTTAATAAAAGTTAAAAGTTTGTACCGCCTGAACAGCCATCGACAATTCGTCATTTTATTCATCGTGTTAATTGTTGTTTGTCATCAAGTTTTTGTGTTAAAGAGAAGTGAAGGTCAGAACCTGTCAGGGTTTGTATGTGAAGTTAAGTACACCTCGTTGTCGCAGTTCTTCGTACTATTGACCGCCTGAGTGCGGGATAATTTGTCCAAACAAGTTTTGTAAGCAATTCTTTCTCTCCGAATGTTTTTATTTCATCTGTTTCGGAAAAAAATTTTGTCATTGTCAATCAATGAATTGTGTATTTATTGGAATCCTTTGTATAATCCGAATAGAGTTTTCATGTCAGAATTGTTTCATGTCAGAATTGTGTGAGGTGTTAATTAAAATTTGTGTAGTTAATCCTTTGGAATTTTCGGAAGTTGATCGTCGATACTGAGTCTCCCAAATCATTAAATTAGTTTAATATTGGGATTTTTCTTTGTATCAGATCCTGGAAATGTACGAGGAGAAATTATAAAAATTCTAAGTTTCCCATTTCCCCATGATGATTGGATCGATTTTGTTAGACAATTTATTATTGAACTACGACAGCACGAACTCGTTACATCTAAAAAGAATACACAATTTATATGGCATTCAAAAAATAGCAAAATTTGGTAGGTATCTTGCTAGTGGTGTTTCCATTTCTCACGTCACAACTTCTACTTCCTTTAATAAATAACATAATCATAAATAAACTTAAACTAAAATAAAACTTTTTGATAGTACCATCAAAGCTTTTGCTACACACCGTTGTCTAAAATGTTAAAATATCTGGACACCATAACCTTATCGTTCAAACATCGCAGAAGTGCACAGTAAATAATTAATTTTTACTTCGCAAATTAATGCTGTAACTTTTATTAGAACACATAAAAATAACATGTATATTTTATTACATCTAAGCAGATTAAATTATTTATTGCAATGATAATAAATATTTCTGCAAGGTCGCTCTGCAGCTTGGTTTAAACTTCTTATTTATTAAGATGAGGCCCTAACATGGCCAGACGGAAGTTTTATCTACAATAACTTGTTTCCTATAAACAGGACTATTGATAGTTTTATTTCTATATCTCAAGTTCAACCTTGCCTTTTAATATTTACTTGACTGTACGTAGTGTCATTAAGTTGCGTTGGTCATTTTACTTCATAACTTTGCTTTGTTTTATTCTTATCTATATAGGCGATAAGGGACTACCGAAATCTAAACAACATCAACATAATACAATCAAAGCACCCCAATAAGCAGTTATATGGAGCTTTTATTTTCACGATGCAAGTGTATCCACAAAATTCGCCGCCCCATCCCCAATTTAATAAAGAGATGATCGGGTGTGTGGTTAATGATAAACTTCAGAAAGATTGATTTTGCGTTTTGTCAGTCAACTCTTTTGGATTCCTTCTCGCAAAGGATTCCCTTCACTTGCTTTACAGCAGACGTCCTAAACTTTAAGGACATTAAATAAACAAACTTCAGTTACCTTTTTGACAAAAAACTTCCAGCTAGTTGACAAACAAACTTATCTCAGGGTTCGTAAAAGGATCAGCCTATCGCCCGTATAACAAAACATTAAATTGCCGCATCAAGATCGCTCCATCAACAGTACAAATTACATTTACAGCAAGATTTTTTTCATATACCTAAAGCGAATTACGCGTATTTTAATGAAACTCCTTAATCAAATGTCAGGTCTTTTTCTAATAAAATTCGACGCTACCTCAAATTAACTTGCACGGAATAAAATATTTAATGTCCAAAGATTACCATTTCAAATAGTAAAACAAAGTTTTAACAAGAACGGCAAGACAAATTCCAAGTATACAAATCAATTTTCAACTTCCATGTAAAGCGTTTACTTACAGTAAAAGTCTACTTAAATTTCCACCAGGGGAAAGCATGTATTCGTAGGACATCCCAACCATTATCTT